TTTACTTTATTTTACTTTATTTTACTTTGTTCCATTTCACCTTCCTTCATTTCACTTTATCTTTGCACCAACCATTTTTTTCCCCCTGTTATTGCCATTATTAGCCCTTCCTCGCCGCGCGCTGCTCGGGCGCCCTGGCACGTCCGCGTCCGGCGTGACCGGGGCAGCGCGCGGGTGGGGAAGCTCCCCCGTGGCGTATGAATCTCGCGGCGGGGTTAGCTGGAAAAGGCTTCGCCACCCGTTTTCCTAGCAATCCACGTGGTGCAAAGTGAAAAAAAAAAAAAAAAAAAAAAAAAGGAATTTCTGTGCAGGGCGTTTTGAGCCTCGGTGCTGCGGCCGCCCTCGGGCCCCACGCGGGATGCGGGAGCAGCCGTCCCGGCCGCGGGCACGGGGAGAGCGCCGGGCGCCTTGTGCAACGTGTCCAAGGCTCAAGGGCGAGTGTTGCAAACGGGGCCCCGCGGGAAGGGGCCGTCTCCGCCGCCGCTGCGCCCTGTCCCGTCCCGTCCCATCCCGTCCCGGCGTGCGGGCTGCTCGTTTTAAAGTCCATCCGCGAGCCAAGGCGGAGGGGCAGCAARCGCCGGAGCTTCGTGGCATTGGGCCACGTATATAAAGCAAATCCTTAGGTAGTGGGTCGGGGGTCGAGGGATCCCAGTGCTGGATGCATTCCAGCGGCTTGGTTCCCCCCGGATCCCTCCGAGCCGCTCAGCTCCATGTGAAGCTGCTGCCCTTCCCAAAGGGCTGCTGCTCCCCGCGGATGCAGGGAGCCCTTTGGGAAGCGAGGCTCCCCCRGGGGAGGATCCACGGGGATGCGGGAGCGAGCAGGGACGGGCGGGAGGCAGGTAAGGCTCGGGAGCCTCCGACGCGGGCCTGGTGTGGGTGAAATCCCGGTGAAATGCGGCTTGGTGCGGAGCAGGGAAGGACATGGGGATGACTCTCAAAATGCTCCAGCGATGGTCCTGGGAAGCTCYTGGCAGCTCTGCGGGCGCCCCAAGGGACGGGGACATTCCCGAGGGATGGGGACGGCTCCCGCCGGGCACGCGTTGCACGCGCGGGGCCGCCAGCTGCGCCCGGCTCTGGACGTTGCTATTTATAGAGCGGCTGGGGGAGCTCGGGAATGTGGCGCTCCATGGGGCCTCGCGGGCTCTGTGGGGCCCACGGGGCCCCTTTGCAGCTCGGCTGGGCCCCCAAAGCCGGGTTTCATCCCCCAGGCGGGAGCAGCTCCCGGAGAGCCCTTCCCAACTCGCCCAGCCTTGTCTGAGGGCCCCCCAAGGATGTGAAGCGGGATCCTGCCCGGAGGTCTTGGTTTCCCTGGATGGAGGGAGATCTTGGTGGCTGCTCTGCCCGGGGGGGCTGAGCCCCACGGCTTGATGCTGCCCCCAGAGCTTAAGGGCTGTTAAGAAGGGACACGCAGAGCAGCAGGCAGCCGCAGCTTGGGGGAGAGGGGGTTAAACCCGGTTTAACCGCCAAGGGGGTGCCAGCCCAGGAGAAACGAGGGGCAAACGCTGACGCCGAGCGCGCCGCAGAGCCCCCGTGGGAAAGGGCGGCCGCTGCTCCGGGGCGCCTCCCGGGAGACTCCCCGTCTCCGAGAACGCCTTGGAGACACTTGGTGAGTGAGGGCCTCGGGAGCCGCGGGGCGCCTCGCTGGGAAGGACGCCGGCTCGGCCTGGGGAGAGCCGCGCGTCCCGCAGGGAGCGCGTGGGCGCTTCCTTTGCATGGCTCCGTCTGCGGCCGAGCGCGGAGCGCGGCGCTCCAGGGCCGCGAGGGAGAGGGCCTGGGGAGGGAACGGCGCCCGGCACGGCGGGAGAGCCGGCCAAGCAGGTCCATGCAGAYGGGGAGGCCGCTCCGGAGCGGTGGCTGCGGGGCTCCCTCCGCGCTCCGCTCCATCCCGCTCCCATTCCCATTCCCGTCCCCGGGATGCGCCGGCTGCAGGGGCTATTTCAATAGCGAGCGAGAGGCCCCCTCTCGCCTTGCGACGCGCTTCCCATGCCACGGCCAGGGAAAATCCGGCAGGTACGGAGATAAGGGGCTGCTCCGGCTGCCCCCGCGCCTCTGCGGGAGACGATCCGTCTAATCTGCCGGGCGCGGAGATAGCGCCCGCGTATCCGCGTATCCGCGGGCCCTGGAAACCCGGCCCGGCGCGAGGAGGAGACCATTGTTTCTCTTTGTCGCCAGCGCTGGTGTTTGCAGGCTCAGGCTTAGGCTTGGGCTTAGGACRCGCCGCCCGCTCGCGGGGCCCTGGGTCACCACCCGGTCCCGTGGGACGGACGTGAAGGCTCCGGCGCTATCCCGCTGCTTCCCGTGGCCTCATCCCGTGATGACGGGAGGCGAGCAGGGGAGGACGGAGCGCGGCCAAAGTCCACAAGCAGGAACACACGCGCGAGGAGTGGCCGGGCCCGCGGCCGGCACAGCCGCTGCCGCGCGAGCTCTCCGGAGCTTCCATCCGCAGGGTGATCCGCCTTGGGAGCCTGACCCCACCACAGGCACAGCGTAGCATGCCCGGAAGGTCTCTCCTGCTCTCCAGGAGCGGGCAGGGCCCTATTCCCTCCGGGAAGGCGCTGGCGGATGCACAAATGGGGCCAGCGCTGGGGGGACCTGCCGGAGCTCGGCACTCTCCCTGCCTCCRTGTCCAGCTGGTGGGGATGGTGGGAAGGGCCTGCGGAGGGAGTGGGAAAGGACCTGGAAGCGCCAGGTGAAACCCCGTGGCGGAGGGTGGAGAGGAGCCCAGGGGAGCTGGGAGACAAGGGAAAAACCAACCAGGAGGCACCGAGGGCTGTGAGCTGGAGCCTCCCCGTCTGGCCGGAGCGGCGCCCGTGGCTGCAGCCCCAGACCTTTGGGATTTGGTGTCCCTTCCGTCCCGCCGCGCTGCCCGGGGCCCCGGCACTGCTCCCGGCGAGGGGCGGCCCCTCGCCCACGGGGGTCCAGGACCCCCCGGTCCAGGGCACCGTGTCCTGCGGGTGGTGGGACGAGACGCCGTGGCCTGGGCAAGGCGGCCGCTGCTCCGGAGGGACCTGGGAGCGGCGCCGAGCGCCGGGACGCGGAGCCGGATCTGCAGAGGGCCGGGAAGCGGCAGGCCGGATTCGCTGCAGAAAGGAGAGGGGGAAAGGGAGGAGCTGCGAGGGGTCCGGGCGCCGGGCCCGCTTCCCAAGGAATGGTGAATCAGAGCCCTTTCCTGCGAAGCTACACGTAGCTGGAGCAGAGACAATCCCTGTGTTTTCCCAGTATGCCCTAAGAAACAGCTAAAAACAGATGGACGTGATATCCACGAGCAGCCGCGACGCCGGAGCACGGCTGGCCCCGGCGGCTCTGCACCCCATGGACGAGGCGCTATGGGGCGGGCGAGGGCGGCGCCGTCTCCAAACGCAGGTCCTCGCCTGTTCCCGCAGCCCCCCGGGTCTCCCGGGAAGCGCCGGGCGCTGGAGGGAGCGGGATGAGCCCCGGCCCCCAGGAAGGCGCCGGGGGGGGCAGCGATCCCGCCTGGAGCGCCTGCCTTGGCAGGGCCCTTCCTTAATGCACCCTCGTCATGTGCCGGGCYGTTAAATAACTTAACGAGCGAGCTGCAGCGTTGGCGGCTCCCTCCCTGCCCCACGTTCTCGGCCCGCGCCTGGCTGGGACGGGTGGGAGACGCAAACACGGGCCTGAAGGGTTTACAAGATAAGCTGTTTTTTTATTATTTTTTATCATTTTTTAATTTTTAGGTCTCTCTGGGCACCAAACAGCAGTTTCTGGGCTCCTTTTCCTGGCAATTCGCTTGCATCCCCTATATAACGGCTCTTGCTATTCCTACCGACAGGAATAAATCAGTAAATCAATAAATCAATAAGTCAATAAATCATTCCTTGTGTGTTCACAAAGTTATTGCCCCAGGTGGCCGTTCCTGTCCGTATTAAAGGCGTTGATGAGCAGGGAGACTCCCTGGATGAAGCCAAAACGGGCTAAGGGGAGCTGGGAAGCAAATACCCCTCCAATAAGCTCTCCAGAACCCCCCACCTTATGTAAAACGGTGGTGGGAAAACGGTGGCATCCGGGGGCACCTGGATGCTTCCCTGTGCCCGGGGGSGGGGCACCGTGCCCGGAGCATCCCACATCCCGGCAGGAATGAGGGGCATTGTGTGCTGGGGCTCCCTGTCCCCACGGGCCCCACGGAGCGGGGTGCCGCCTGTGGGGCGCCCTGCGCGGAGCCCCCCGGTGCCTCCGGCGGCGCCGCCCGCTGTGACTCCGCGCCGGGAGGCACCGCGTTCCCAGGCGCCCGCAGGTGCCTTATCCTCCGTTCCCTCCCGCGGGCCGCTCCGACGCCTTTCCCAGGTGCCAAGGCCGCGGGGGGGACGGGGGCGGCGGGGGGGCCCCGCTCCAGGCGCCGGCCGCGGGGGACACGTGTGCCCCGTGACGCTGGCGGCCCCATAAAGGCGGCGGCCGCGGGGCCGCCTTCCCCCCGTCCCCACCCCGGCTCCCCCCGTCCCGTCCCGTCCCGTCCCGTCCCATCCGCCGCCATGGGGGGCCCCCCGCCGCCGCTGCTCCTCGTCCTGCTCTTCCTCCGCACCGGCACCTGGATCGCTGCTGGGAATGGGACCCACCAAGCCCGTGAGCTCAAGGGGGCTCCAGACCCCTATGCTGGGGGTCGGGGGGGGGACTGTCCCCCTAGGGATCCCCGAGGGGATGTGGGGGGCTCTGCTGCTTGGGACAGCCCCGTCCTCCTCCCAGGGGGATACAGGGGAAGTTACTGACCCCCCTTCAAAAATATGGGGACATAGGGGGGCCCTTCCTGCCCACTGGGGAGCACCTGCCCCCTAAGAATTCCTAAGGGATAGGAGGGGTCCTGCCCCCCCCCCGCAATGGGATGTGCGGGTCCCTGGCTTGTGATGGGGGGTCCCTGCCCCCTAAGGATGTGGGGGGTCCCATCCTTCCCCCAAGGGGCTATTGGGSACCTCTGCTCCCTGGGGAAACCCTGTTATCCCCCCCTGCCTGGGATRTGGGGGTCCCTAGTCCACGATGGGRGAGTCTCTTCCCTTTGGGGGTCCCCAAGGAGCTCCCTGGGGAAGCCCTGTCCACCCCCCCAAGGTGGGATGTGGTCCCTTTCCCTTCAGGGGGACCCCATCCTGCTCCCCCAAGGCACCATAGGTGACACGAGGAGGGGSGACCCTGCCCTCTAAGGCGTCACCTCCACCTGGGGGGCGGCGAGGGCTCCCGTCCTCCTGCCCTAGGGGGTTCTGCAGCATCCCCCCAGCTGAGGCCTGGCACATTCGGTGCACGCTCCGCACGGCCTCAGGAGCTGCCGTTGCCTTTTACTTTACCCTTCCTCTGTTTTTCCCCCTCCTTTCCTGCTGTGGGGCGTCCCGCAGCGGCAGAGTGCGCGGAGCGGCGCCAGGCGGCCTGCGGCGCCCGCTGCGTGCCCGTGCCCTGGCTGTGCGACGGCGCGCCCCAGTGCCCCGGCGGCGCCGACGAGCGCTGCGGTGAGCGCCCCGTCCCGCCCCGTGTCCCCCCGCCGTCCCTCCGTGTCCCCGAGCCCGCGCGCGGCACCCACGGCGCCCGCCGTCCCCGCAGAGCTGCCGTGCGGCGGCGACCCGCACGCCTGGCAGTGCGACGACGGGCGCTGCGTCTCCAGCGGCTGGCGCTGCGACGGCGCCGCCGACTGCCCCGACGGCTCCGACGAGCGCGACTGCGGTAGGCGCCTTTCCCGGGAGCGGGGTGGTGTGGGGGCGGCTGCTATTCCCGCAGAAACGAGGTCCGCGCATCCCCGCGCGCCTCCCGCCCAGTGTGCGGCGCCAAGAAGGTGCAGTGCCCCGGCACGCACCACTGCATCCCGCGCTGGGAGCTCTGCGACCGCCACCGCGACTGCGAGGACGGCTGGGACGAGGAGGGCTGCCCGCTGCAGCCCTGCCTGCCGGGGCAGTGGCAGTGCCGCAACCGCCTCTGCGTCATGCGCCGCTGGAAGTGCGACGGCGTCGACCACTGCGGAGACTCCTCCGACGAGGACGTGTGCGGTGAGCGCGCGCGCTGCCGCCGGGGACCCCCGCCACCGCGGTGCCCGCTTCTCTATTCGCCCTCGAGCCCGCGCTCGCGGCCGCCCCGCAGCCCCCTGCCCGCCCGGCATGGTGCGCTGCGACGAGGGCAAGTGCATCCTCGAGGCGCTCATGTGCGACGGCGAGGACGACTGCCTGGACGGCACCGACGAGCCCAGCACGTGCGGTGGGTGAGCCCCGCCGTGCCCGCTGTGTCACCCCTTTCCCTCCGCCGTCACCGTGACGCCGTCCTTGCCCCGCAGGCCGGAGCTGCTTCGTGCGCAACGGCGGCTGCGCCGAGACCTGCACGGACACGCACTGGGGCGTGCGGTGCTCGTGCAGCGAGGGCTGGGCGCTGCGCGCCGACGGGCAGAGCTGCGCCGGTACGGAGCGAGCGCGGCGCGAGGC